ACCTAGGGCCGCGCGCCGGAGCTAACCCGGTGGGAATCGCGCGCAGGAAACCGAAGGCCCGCGCAGGCGAGCTCGGGCAGGCGCGCTCTGAGGCGGGGCGGCCGCGGGGCCCGCGATCTTGGCGGAGAAGAACGGCTGCCAGAACTTCTGAAGGCATCCAAGAACCCCTCTGGGTGTCTGAATGAAGCTGCGAGGTGAAGGGCGGGCGTCTTCTTTCGGTGTCCTGAGTCCCGAGAGAGCGCGGCGACGGCGGACGGGGTCCCAGGCCTGCGCGAGCCGCAGCGGCAGCCTTGCGGCTGCCGGCCTGTTCGAGCGGGCCGTCGGCTTCGGAAAGCTGGCGCTTCGTGTCGAGGACGACGCGGCGCTTGTGATCGGCGGCGACGGCAGAGTCCACGGCCTTGACGAAGTCACCCCAGGCTGCGAGCTCGGGCCCGCAGGGGGAGATGCTGGTGGCCGGGCTCGGCGGCGACCATGGGCAGAGCGGCTGCGCCAGAATCGCGACGCCAGATGGAGCGAACAGGCAGTCGCCGTCATTGCGGTGAGTCTAACCGTGCTAGGCCCGACGACTACGATGTTGAAAAAAGACGCGCTGCTGGAGGTTGCGGGTAAGCCGAGCTGATACTCCTTGATGATGTGCTTGCTTTGTCGACATGCCCAACATGGTGCGAGGTCGGCCAGTGTAATGTTGTCCGTCAGGAAGCTGGAGTGAGGCTGATACGTTTGGTCATGAAATATGATCAGCTCGATGGCATGTATGCCCTGGCGGGCGGCGGTGGCGCTGTTCGGCGCCAGGTGCTGGATCGCGTGATCGCTGATAAATCTATGGCCAGGCAGAGCCACGCCATCCTGGTGCATCCCCAGGAGGGCGTCGGCGCTGAGAAGGTCGATGCTGGATAGAGAGGTGTACACTCCATCTATGACTGTTGCCGCTCGTTTTTTTGGCAGAGGTTTCAGTGCAGGTCGTGCGAAACCTCGGTGAGGGATGCGAAGACCTGCCATCCATCATGCTCGTTCGCGCTGGTATCGACAGACAGGTGCCACAGGACGCTAGCGATCATAATGGTCCATGAAGTTGAAGGGGGGCACGGCGCTGGTGTTGAAGTCACCCATGGCCACAGACGCTTTGTCGGGTTCGGCAGTTGCCCATTGGCTAGCGGCATCAAGCATCGGAGACACGCGCCATGTCTGCTGTCACCAGGGCCACAGCTGTGAACACTCGTGTGGTGTAGCCACGCTGCCACGTATACTCGGGCGAAGGGTACCTGCTGAGGTGAGGCTGGCGGTGCGGGCACCAAGGCAGCCAAGCCGCCTTCACTACGCCGTCCATGGCAGCCGCCGAAGAAGACCTGGTACTTGTAGGGGGGCTTCTTGGCTATGTGAGAGTCGAAGTCAATGTCTGAAGCGCGTACTTCTCAAAGAACGATGAATGCTTCTTTCCCGTGAAAAAGGTGTTACCTGTCGTATCTCGGCCATCGAATTTCTGTCATCGTGGTAGAGAAGGCATCGTCCATTCCAACATCTGGTATGGGCAATCTGGTCTGCCGAAGGTGCACATTAAGGCCGTCCCTCAATGTGTTTTCTGGATGCCAAAGGCGAGGAAAAGGGGGGCAGAGGCCGTTCGAGCTGCGGAGGTGCTGCTGGCATATGAGGTGCTGTCCGGCGTAGGGCTGCTGGTATTCGGTGACATAGAAAAAGAAAAGACAGCCGCCGAGAAGAAATCGGAAGCCCAGAACAGTTGATTTTCTTCAGGGAGAAATTGAGCTTGCACATGGTACTAGCGTGGGTCCCGAGGGCCAAGGAGCTACTCTGTGAACGCGCATGTGCTCGTCAGGATGCAAGTGTGGAGCTATATGATGCTGTTCAACCAGGTGAGGATGCTGAGGATTGTCCCCGCGGGTTTGTGGAATTTGATGTGCGTGCTGTGGAGCTGGCCTTGCTGGTTGCAGGTCTTGTTGGGGCTCCCGTGCTGGTGGGAGATGGCGAAGCGGGTGGGGTGGGACCTCGTGCGAGCGAAGGTCGTCAGAACGAGGTGGGCAAGCGTCATGGGCACCAATGACGGTAGTGCGCCAAGGTGGCCAGCGCTTGTCAAATCCACTGTAGTTTCTTTAGTTTTATAGGGAGGGCGGCGGATTCAGCAGCAATGTTAGCTTTTTTATCAGTACCTTGGCCAATGCATCTTGACTTCAACGCGCGACCGTTGCAGCATCCATGGTTGCGAGCTCCAGCTTGGCGGTTGGGATGATGTTGCAGACTGCTGTATGCGCCCTGCGCGCCAATTTAATAAAAGGGGCAATGGGCTTGTCAGAGCTGACAAAACCTCCTTGTTAGAATGTCCCATGATGCGGTAAAGGCTCTTGTCAGGATTGCCATCGGCCGGAACAAGCTGGCCTTGGTTGGTGACGCAATGTAGCGGGGTCGGTACTGTGAATCTACGGTACCCTCCTCGTCCTGGGAGCTGCAGAACGCGTGCCAGTGCCAGTGCCTGAGGAATGGCGACGTCGCGGCCCCCGAGAATGTATGTAATGAAGCGTCCACTGGGTCCTTCCCCATGGTATTCGGGAATGTTGCGCACCAACGTTCGCTGCGTCCATCCAATCAGGTGAATGGAAGTGTGTGTATGTGTGTGTGTGTGTGTGTTTGTGTGTGCTGCTGCTGGGGCGACGGGCTGGGCGCAGGAGGAGACGAAGACGAGGAGGAATGAGAGGAGGAATGCGAGGAAGAGGAGGAGGAGGAGGAGGAGGCGGAAGCCGAGGAGAAATGCGAGGAGGACGAGGAGAAGGAGGAGGAGGAGGAGGAGGAGGAGGAGGAGGAGGAGGAGGAGGAGGAGAGGACAGAAATGAGGAGAGGACGATGACGACGAGGAACACGAGGTGGAGGAGGAGGAGGCAGAAACCGAGGCCTGCAAGGATACTCTGCGCGGCAGGCGCCGCAGAGGCGCGGCGTCCGGCGGGCGACGGTGGCGGCCTCAGCTTCGCGGCTGCTGCGGGCAGCCGCGGCGATGGCCATTGCTCTCTGGCGAAGTGGATTCCATGACAACGGACACCCTGACAATCCGATCATGTAATTTAGCATGTGTTAAACATTCAAAGTTGTTCTAAACATGACTAACACATGTTTAAGACATGCTTAACCTATTTCTAAACATCTGGAACTTACTTGGCAACAGGCTTCCTCTCCATTGACCGTCGTCCGCAACTCTGGTGGGCGAGGGGAGGCCCCGGCCTCTCAGAAGGCGCAGCGGCGCCCCTGCTGCGGCACCCGTCCTCCACGGTCGCTCCAGCCCCGATGCGCTCGGGAGAGGTGCGAAGTGCTTCCCCAGACGAGCGGCGGCAAGTGCCGCGGCATCTTGCTTGAGAGAGGAGGCGTGGCACAGGCAAGGGAACCCGAGCCAGCTTTGGATGGTAGGGGGAGCAAGGGAGCAGGGGAGGGGGCCACGTGTCCCAAGCCGTGCCACATCTCAGGGCGGCCTCACGAAAGAAGGGGCTCAGACGCCAAAGGCCAGCGCTCCTGCAGATCACTCGAGATATGCTGGGCCATGGCCGCACAGGAGGAGGCAGCTTATTCCAAGCTGCTCCAAGCCGTGCCGAGCCGTGGCAGCAATCGTAGCAACCAAACTTCGATTCTTGGATCAGGCCTTGTCTCGCGCCCGCCATTCAGTCGAAAAGGGGCGGGCCGCATACCCCGGCGTGGCCAGAATGAGTGCCAGGACGTCTGGGGGCACCAAAACGCTCGCACCCCTCTCTTCAAGACTGGCCTCTCACCCCGGACCGCGGGCCTCGAAAGCGGCATCCGGGGGCCGCAGGCGGTGACGGACCTCCGACTCGATGCTGTCAAGACTTTGGAGGCCTGGGCGGCTGTCAGGATCAGAAGCGCGCTGCCCGCCGCCTCTCGCCGTGAGCAGGCCTGACTCCCGGGCAGGCTGCTCGCCATCCCCCGACCGTCCTCCCATCCCACCATACACCACATCGCCTGCGCGATATGCTAGAAGATGTAGCACCCCGCGGTTGCGGATAAGAGTGAGGGGGCGGGCGCGGGGAAGGTCGCGGGTGGGTCGCGGGCGGGTCGCGGGTGGGTTGCGGGTGGGTCGCAGGTGGGTCGCGGGGTGGGTCGCGGGGTGGGTCGCGGGTGGGTCGCGGGTGGGTCGCGGGCGGGTCAAATAATTCGAGCCTCCCCCTTACCCCCCACCCACCACACGCCATCACTTCGAAGACATCCGGCGGACGACTTGAAAGAATCGGCATGAGCTTGCATGGCATGTTCTGTGCTCGGAGCTGGTTCTGGGCCCAAGGATCGTCAGCGGGAAGGGCCGGATGAAGAGCCCGACCCCAGGAAGGGGTCGAGCGGTCCGTGGGCACACGTAGCAAAAGAACACACACTATCCGATGTCGTAGGTTGACTCGCATGACCCCTTCCAGGGATCACTGAGCAGCTTGGGTCAATGATTTCACAGGCCGTCCCCCTTCTTCTTCTTCTTCTTCTTATCATTATTATTCTTATTCTCATTCTTCTTATCATTATTAATTTTCCAACTTCCTCCTTACGTATCCTCCTCCTTCCTTGCCTATTCCTCCTCCTGATGCTTCTCTTCCTGCTGCTCCTCCTCCTCTTCTTGTTTTCATTGTGTCAGGCTCTGAGCGACTGAACTCGCAGCGTCAATGGAGGCGTTCGCATTCAAGAAATGAAGAACGATCGGAGCGCAACGCACGACGGACCTGATGCCTACGCACCCGTGCCCCAGGTTTTGGCAAAGTGCGGCCCCCGAAAGGGAGAAGGGAGGCGGAGAGGTGACGAGAAGTGTAGTAGCCCGCTCGGGCGTGGAGGAGGGCACCAGGCAAGGACTCTCACTGAGGGTAATGTGCACGCAAAGCCCTCCACCACTACCGCCTCCTCCTCTCCCGGCCTCTCCCTCATCCTCCTCCTCCTTCTCCTCCTCCTTCTCCTCCTCCTCCGCCTCCTCCTCCTCGTCATCTCTTGCCCCCTCCCCACCCCCCACCCCCCACCGCCGGATGTCGTGCGTATCCCGAGCTCCTTCAGCTGGGCAGAACAGGCCTCCTCGGCCTCCTGGTCGCCGATCTCGCCCTGGGCGGGGCGCCCACTCCCGGGAAAAGAGGAAGGGGGATCGAGGAGGATCGAGTCTCGAGGGTGGCAAATATCCGAGCACTTTCTTAGGGTGGAGGGCTTAGGGTGAAATCCAGATGGGCTTTTGGCACCTCGAAAATCAATCCGTCTTGTGATTCGCCCTTTGCACGTTCAAGCCTCGAAAATCCATCGAAACGGCAGTTCAGATTTCCCCCGGCGCCCTCCACCCAAAGAAAATGCTCGGAATCCGAGGTTGCGGGGTGAGATCGCAGTGGAACGGAGACCCCCAACCAGGAAATCGTTTCGTTTCGTTCGCGTCGTGCGTGCGGCCGAGGCGAAGCTGCGTGGGCGCGCGAAAGGAATGAACCCGCCGTTGCTAGGGCGAAGCCAAAGACAAATGATTATCCTCCGTTCGTCCGTCCGGCGGTGGCCCTCGGTGTCCCGCGGTGTCCCGTGGTGTCCCGTGGTGTCCACCGTTGCTAGGGCGAAGTCAAAGACAAATGATAATCCCCCGTCCGTCCGTCCGGCGGTGGCCCTCGGTGTCCCGCGGTGTCCCGTGGTGTCCCATGGTGTCCCGTAGTGTCCCGTGGTGTCCCGTTGAGTGAGATCGCTAGTGAGATCGATAGTGATATCGATAGTGATATCGATACTGAGATTGATGCGGTGCCCCGAGGTGTCCTTCCTCTCCTCCCCCCTCCCTGTTCGTACGGTTCGCCCGCGGCTTGGCCTGCCTGCTGGGTCTTCGACCCTCGTTTGGTTGGACCTCGATCCCCCAATGCACTGGGGCCGCGAGACAAAAACACACCTCTGCGTTCCTCCCCAGACCCCGACGCCATGAGTTTCTCATGACGTGGGGCCCCGGAGGTCTGGACCCCTCCCGGGGGACCACTCTCACATCACATCGCATCGCCGGCGGCACGAGAGCTGTCTGACGTCGCACGGGGCACCTTCGCGCCTCATGGCAAGCACCTGGACGCCCGATGTGAGAAGCTGTGGCCGAATACAGTTGGTGCCATCATCATGATGTCCATGAGTTTACGCTCTGGCCGAGGGGCTCCACACCAGCACTCGGGATTCCGCGTTGCCGGCGCCCTCGCCCCCCTGTCCCGAGCCGTCCCGAGGCCCAAGAAAAGGACCCCGGAGGCTGAAAAACAAGAAAAGAACCTTCAGTCGTGATGTGATCACGACGCGATGGGAGAACATGCTGTTCCGCATGAACTTGATCCTCGGGTAGGGGATCGACTACAGAATTGACTTACCCCACAACTGGTTTTTCCCATCGAATCTACTACGGATGCGTAACATTTGCGCAAATCTACTGAAGGTTATAAGTATTTTCCGTAGATTCGACAAGACAGTCAATTCAAGGGTAAATCAATTCTGTAGTCGATCCCCTTCTCGAAATACCATTGAATGGAACTTGAAGTTGTTTTCGCTTGCGGGAGGGTTTCCCTTTTGCACTCGCGGAGTCTGCATACTCGTGAAGGCAAATGAAAGCGCCCTGTCTCTTAGAGCACAGGCCCTGCCCTCATCGGTTAGCGGGGCTCTTCCTCCGCACCCACCCAACTGGTTACAAAGAAGCTCGGTGGAGCGCAGTCGGCAGATAACCCCGGCAATGACTAAGGGAACGAAACATTACATAAACATGAAAACTCGGAGGCCCGCGCGGATTTCCAGGATCCGCGCTGGACTCCCCTCCCTGGTTCATTCTTCGTTCCCCTACTAACCGTCACGTACTGTCCCCGGTCGCGTGGCCGATGGAAGGGTCCAACCGAGAGTCCGGGGTCGGTGCCCGGATTTTCGGCCACGCTCGCCAGACAGCAGCTCAGTGCCTGGGGCGCGCGCCCGGATGGCGCATGGGCCGAGGTGGATCGTCGCACCTGGAGGCCTCTTGAGAATTCGAGGCACAGCTCTTTCCATGCAGAGCTGAGCTGTACAGCAGGGGCCCGACCACAAAGACGCCTTCCACAAGGAACCCAGCCCTGAGAACCCAGGAAGCCCATCGATTGTCGGTGTGGGCACGTCACGCTTTCCATGTCAAAATCATCGAAACCGAAGAAGCCCGGGGCACCCTGGAGGCAAGTAGGGTGTTGCTTGGCATTGGCCACCACTGAGTCACCACTGTAGTCGCTCCTTGAGGCGTGGGGAATTTGAGGCACAGCTCTTTGCATGCAGAGCTGACCTGTATGCGGGGAAACTGGGAGGCCCCATCAGTGGTGTAGATGCGGGCCGTCCTGCTACTCTCCCAGCGCCTTCGCTCGCAAGTCTGGTCCATGAATATGTCGCTCCTCCACGCCTGAAGCTGAGACGGAGGAAACCCTGCATGTTTGCATTGAATAAGCTGCTGCCGCAATGTGCACTCGCTTACCTCGGCGAGCCAGTCGCCAGGAAGCTTCGAGTTCATCTGGGGTGAGCGCCCTCTCCCGACAATTCTCGATCACCTGGGCTCGCGCACGCGGCGCACTCAGCTTCGCCTCCCTCTTTCGCGGCATCTTGAATGGACTCGCGCGTGAAATTCCACTCTTCGTCAACCTCCGCATCCGACCTGGCAATTCTAGAGTGCGCCGCCTGCGGATGACCCGATCTGTAGGCCGCGACGCGGAAGCCCGCAAGGTCGCGCGCAGCTCGCAGGCCAGCTTCCGCGTCCCACAACGATGCTAGCAAATAGCGGCCCTGTTGAAGGGGCCGCAGGCGCCTCAAGTCGCCTCGTGCATCCAATCCGACCTCGCCGGCGCACCGCCAGGCGAGCTCAGTGCCAGCGAGCGTCTGGCTCACTGCCTCACATGCGCCGCCGCCAAACTCCGACGCGTCGAAGACGACGGGTCTGGGGTCGATTGCCGCCCGGAGATTGACCGCGCAGCTCGGCAATAAGCCCGCTGCCGTGAGCAGGTCGTCGACGACCTCATCGCGCAGCAGGCGAGGGTGACCGCGCGCCCGAGCTCATGGAAGCAAGCGCTGAGGACCGACGGGACTGGGCGCTGCCGCGTAGCGACGTGGCAAGGGTGGCCAAGAGTGGAATCCAGCAGCAGGCGGCTGACCCTGGGCTGCGGCATCGTGTGAAGGTTGAGGTAGAGGACGAGACACAAACGCTTCGGCTCAGTTCCTTGCCCACCCAACTCGCCATCCCACAAGGACCCGAGCGAGGTGGCCACGGGCTCGCTGACGACTTCCTCGCCCTCGGCCCCGATGACGCCAGGCCGCGCCCACGCCTTTCGACAGGCGACCCGACCGTGAACTAGTCCCAGTTGTCGAGGTACACGTGGAAACCCGACTGGGGCCCGCGAGCGGGGTTCAGCGGAAGCGAGCTGCTACCGCGGTGTTCGCGGCCCTCGAGCCTGGCGCCCATTGGCGGGGGGGCCCTGGCCATGAAACGCCCTGCGGCCAGCGTGGCCTTGACCGCGAGGAGCCACCACATGGGGCATAGACGGGCACGCCTTAATGGCGACGTGGGCGAGGTCCTCGGTGCCCATGTCCACTCACGTACCAAGCGCGCACTTTTCTATGCCGAGCTGGCGGGGCACTGAACGAATGGAAGGAATGGCCATCGGAGCTGACCAGCAAGACCTGGTCGCAAAGCAAAACCACCGAAGCCCGTTCGCCCGCCATCGGCAACGGAGACACCTCCCCGAAGTGAGGCTCAATGTGCGAGTTCGTCGGGACGAGTTTCGCCCACGCCGCCCTTGCCCTCCACGGTCCCTTCTCCCCGCTGCCATCCAACTCCTCCACCGCCGCCGCCGCCTCCTCCTCCTCCTCCTCCTCCTCCTCCTCCTCCTCCTCCTCCTCCTCCTCAATGTGCGATGAGGCGCAGGCCCAGTCCTCGCGGCGTCGCCGCATCCCTCGGGCGTGCGGCCTCTCGAAAGCGCCGCCTGGGCAGCGGTGGCCGCTCGGGCAGAAGACCTCGCCCTCGGGGATCGCGCGGGCCCCGCGACGATGTCCCTTCCGGTCGTCGTCCGTCGCGGGCACCGTTGCGCGAGGGGGGGGGGCCGAGGCCACTCTGCAGCGGGCTTTGAACGCGAGGCCCGGGGTCGCACAGCCACGCTGCGTTCTCGCGGGGGACCACGCGCTCCAGAAGGACCCGGCCAACCGCCCCACCGGGAGGTAGAACCCGGACGATCTGGACTAGCGACGACAGGGGGGGCGACCGGCCGCGCGAGCCAGTGCAATCCAGGCGCTCTCGCGCCCCAGCTCGAGGTCGATGGAATCGTTCCTCGCGGCGTCATCGTGGGCCTCCAAGCAGCGGAGGCGCCCGCGTGCAACCTCAAGTGCTGCGTTGCGTCGGCACTTAGCCCAATTGCAAGTCCACGAAGGACCAGGCGCCGGGTGCCCGCGTATAAATAACTCCGCGCTAAATAGCCGTGCAACCAAAGCCGTCACGTTGGGCAGGAAGGGGGGGGCGTCGTTCAAGCAGTCGCCCCAAGACGGGTGATCAACAGACGGGTCGTGCGGCAATCCCGCGTCCAGCTTCACGCTCGCTGGCAGGAGCGGCAACGTACTCTGGGTAGCAGTCATAAGTCAATCGACCTCACAGAGGCCGCCCGCTCGCTGCTTCCTCGCGTTGCGCAGCACTGCCGCAAGCTTCGGGCAGGTCAGCGGCTCAACCGCCACATCCAGTGCTGACTCCACGTCTCGTCTCGGCAACTGCCAGTCGAGCGGGCGCGCGGGGCGGTGAAACGACAACGAGTACTCGAGAGCGCCCGCATGGCAACGCTTGGACCCGCAATCGCACGCCAATCGCCGACCGCGCACACGTGCGGCCCATATGCTTCACTAACCTTAAGTCGGGCGTGTCCCCCTACAGGGGTATTTTGGGCGAAAAATTAAAAAATACTAGAAACATACCCCCCGAATGCTCAAAAATAGTCAAAGAATAGTCCACAGACTATGGTTTGACTATTTCTAAATATCCCCCCTGTAGAGGGACGGGCCCGACATAACACTAACCCGCGGTTGGGAGAACGCCCTCAGTACGGCCTCTGCCGGGAGTTCCGGGACGTCTGCGGCTGCCGGAGGCTCGTCTGCTGGGGGGCCTTGCCCTGCCATCGCTCGGACGTCCATTCCCTGTGTTTTTGTTCGGTTTCGTGCGTGGTCTTTTCGCCAAATGATCAAGAATGCTCCTCGATGGTCCTCGCCGAAGGAAAAATGCACACGTCCGAGCGATGCCAAGTCCCGAGGGCCCGAGGGCAGCCTCCCGGCACCGCCGGAGCGGCGATCGCCCGACGGCGGCCTCGGGGCGGCCGAGCCCGGCAGGGGAGGCGGAGCTGGCGCAGGCGGCGAAATGGCCGCCGCAGGCGTCGTAAGCGGCAGCGGCGGGTGCGCCCCCGCGCTCCTTCCCTCAGGCCCACAAAGGACGTACGCGCCCAGCTATGTACATGAACACGGCCCCGTGACCCGCGAGACCTGCCGCATGATAAGAACATTCGCGCAATGCGAATTCTCGAAACCAGCGTGGATTCATGTACGTGTACGTCCTTCTTTCGCTCCTATTTTTTTTGAACTCGCGAAGCACCAGCCACTGACCACCACGCGATGTCACCAGTCAGTCTGGATGCCGGCGGTCGAGCTCACGCAGCTACGCGTGACCCGCCAGGCCCGAAGCAGCGCTGCCCCTGAGCTGCCGCTCGGTCTCCTCCTTCCCGTGCGCGGATGTCGCATCGGCCCGGCTGGTGAGCTGCGTCTCCCCCGTCGGGATCAGCTCCAACCAGCGGGCCGCCCGCCAGCTCTCGTCGACGAGCGACTGACCCGTTGGGCGATGACACCGAGCGCGCCCGCGAAGTCCCCCCTCAGGAAGGCATCCGCCGCGAGCACGAGTGTCTCCGCCTGCCGCGAATTCCGCAGAAGGATGCGGTTCCGCGGGCGGTCGTGGAATAGCACCTGGTGGACGTGCGCGTGGACGATCGGGCGGCATGCGGCTTCGGGGAGGTCGGAGGTGGCCAGGTTGCCGAGGACTCTGGCCATGCGCTGCAGCGCCTCGCCGCTGAGCTTGCCAGGCGCCTTGCGCCACGGGCGAATGATATCTACGCGCCTCGACTTGCCGCTCCCTGGGATCCTTCCTCTTCCCCTGAAGCCCCAGAATCGTCGCCTCCACGCTGTTTGAGGAGACGGTGGGAGCTCCTGATGGTGATGGCTTCGTGGTCGTCCTCGTCGCCGCCCCCGTCAGTGGCGCCGCCCTCGCGCGACTGGACCACCGTCGCCATCTCGGAAAGTATGTTGGCGAGCTCGTGCTCTTTCCCCGGCGGTAGATGATCTACCGCCGGAGTGCGGACAAGTAGAACATGTAACCCCAAAACCAAGTGGAGCAAGTAGAGGTTCGAACCGCCGTTGATCATGTACCCGCAGGGTCCAACGCGACGAGTCTTTAAACACCTCTACCGGCGGCACACGCCCAAGGCTATTTAGCACCTCTACCTGGCGCGCTCGAACGATCTACCGTACATCGTTCGAACCCCGGGAGTCGCCCAGACCGCGAGCATCGGAATCAGGCTCACGCTCGCGCGCGCCGCGGCCCGAGCCACCGAAGCCCCGCCCATCGCTGGCGCAGCGCTCCTCCGGGCCCTGGAGCTGCCGGGAGGTCGCCGTCGCGCTTTCTCCCCCGCTGGCCCTCTCGAAGTCCAGGACTCGGCGGCTCCGAAGGGTGTGGGTTGCATCTGCGCAGGCGCCTGCGGCGCCTGCGGGAGGGTGCCGGGGGGGTCTCCCGGGCCGGAAGGGCCCTCGATGGCCCCCTGGTCGACCCATTTGGCCTCCCTCGCCTGCCCGCCTGCGCTCGCGCGCCGGAGCTCGACGTGGGGGATGGCGGGCGTGATCTTCTCAGTGCCGCTGTCCCGGAGACGGGTGCAGCATGCTTCCGCGCTCTCCGGCGCAAACAGGTGCAGCCGGATTGGCCGATCCTTCGGCTCGGTGGGGTCGGTGAGGTACCCGCGGTAATGCTGGTCCTCTGAGCCCAGGTGCGTGACGCCTAGCAGGCGTCCTTCAAAGTGGGCCGAGCGCAACTTGCCGACTTCATACAGTCAGCAGCCCCGGGAGGCGCCGCTGCTGGCGTGACCTCTGGTGAGGATGTAGTTCCCCTTCTCGGAGCGCGTGGTCCGCTCCTTGTCCCTCTAGTCTGAAGGGGCCCTGGGACACACAACTGAATAGACACAATTAAACGGATTCCCCATCTTTTCACATATTTTCTGGGTTTTTGTCTTCCCCCCCACCTCCCATATTTTCCAATCTTTTCGTGGGAATCGCCGATGAGTTGTGTCTGTGTGCTTTTCCCCTCCCGATCGCCGCGGGGGCCGAGGAAGCGCGACTCGTCGAGGGGATCGCCGTGCCACCCCCTAGGTCCGAGGCTGCAGTCGAGCGGGCCCGCCCTCGGGGCCCGTCTCCGCCCGCCCTCGAGGCCGTGGGACGCTCGTCGAGCGGGCCGGCCCCCACTCACAGGAAGGGAAACAGCACGCAGACACACTGGGATCGTCGACTCCCAACAGAAGATGGGAGACCATGGGAAGTGGGGGGGAAGACGAACGCCCCGAAAACATGGGAAAATATGGGGCATCCTGTTTCTCGTGTCTCCCCTCCGCCGCCGCTGCCCGCCTGCCGGTCGCGAGCGTTGCCCCGAGGGCGGCGGTGCCTGGCTCAGGATGGGAAACCATGGGAAGTGGTGGGGAAGACGAGAACCCAGAAAACATTAGAAAACATGGGGTGCCCTGTTTTTTGGGTCTGTTCCATTGTGTGCCCCAGGGCCCCCTTCCGCCCAGAAAAAAAATATATGGGGTATCCTGTTTTTTGTGTCTATTCCTTGGCGTGTCCCAGGGCCCCCTTTTACCCGCGGCAGGTCGCCGCCCCCCCGTTCGCGGCAGCAGAACCCCCGGTCGGGGCCAGGCGAGGGCCGCCCGGGCCCCGAGGCTGGTCGAGGCCCCCTGGGGGCGCGCGAAGTAATGCACGCAGATCCCAGGATTCCCCACAGGTTCCCACATTTTCGGGGTTTTCGTCTTCCCCCCCACCTCCCACATTCTCTGGGTTTTCGTCTTCCCCCCCCCCCCTGGCCATCGCTCGGACGTCCCTTCCCTGTGTTTTTGTTCGCTTTCGTGCGTGGCTTTCTCGCCAGGTGATCCACGATGCTCCTCGATGGCCCTCGCCGAGAAAAAATGCACGTGTCCGAGCGATGCCAGGCCCCCCCCCCCCACCTCCCATCTTTTCCTACATTTTTCGGGAATCGACAATTCATTGTGTGTCTGTGTGCTTTTCCCCTCCTGATAGTCGCGAGCCCTGATAGTACGCCGCGAGGGGGGCGGCGACCTGCCGTGGGTGAAGGGGCCCTGGGACACACAAATGAATAGACACAAAAAACAGGATTCCCTTGTATTTTCCAACGTTTTCTGGGTTTTCGTCTTCCCCCCGCTTCCCACAGTTTCCCATCCTGAGCCAGGCACCGCCGCCCTCGGGGCAACGCTCGCGACCAGTAGGCGGGCAGCGGCGGAGGGGGGAGCAGAGCTTGGAAGGTCAGGCTTCGAGCCACCCTTTGGCTGCGGAAGCCTCCAAGTCTGCAAGAACACGTACGCTGCTTCCATCAATGCTCATAGACCCGACAGTGGGTCACTCTTGCGTGCTGACATAGAAGCCGTGATGCTTCGTATTGGCCGTGGGCCAGCTTATGATGCCAGCCCACGCCCACCCCGTCCCGTCTCCAGGGGCTTCGCATCCCCCTGTGATGGTGGGATGGGGAGACGGTCCGCCGCCCCCTGCGCTGTACGCGCTGCGCAGGGTCAGTGTGGGAATTGGGCTGGACTTCTTTGAGAGAGCCCCCCGTCCGTCCCCCTTCCATTCTCCTTCTGGCCCTGTCGACGATGGTCCTACGCCTCCTGCTCCCTCCTCCCCTCCTCTCCTCCATTCGGGGGCGGCCAAGGAGGGGGGCGTCCAAGAGGGGGGGCGCAAACCATGGCCGTCGGCATGTGCGCGGCCCAGGGGGCGGGGCGGGGACGTAACGAATCAAGAAGAGGCGCCATGAAATCTGGGGAGATATCATGCCCCCCGCCATGAGATCCACCACCCCCTAGTCATCACCCCCCTCTTTAGCCTCCGACTCTCCTCCACGGCCGTCGCCGCCGCCCCGCCCGCGCGCCGGGTCTCTGCCGAGCAGCTGCAGGTTCACCGTGCTCATCACGCGCGCCGCCTGCACGGCGCCGGGGCGGCGAGGCAGGAGGGGGCGGGAGAGAGGGAGGGAGGGAGGGGGGAAGAAGGAGGGGGGAAGGGGGGGGGGGAAGGATGGAAAAGGGAGAGGGGGAGGGAAAGGAAGGAAGGGAGGGCGAGGAACGGAGGAGGGAGGAGGAGAGAGAGGGAGGGGGGGTGGAAGGCAGGTGTAGAGGGGGGGGCACGGGAGGGGGCAGGAGGGGGGGGAAGGGTGAAGGGCGCGGGGCAGCGGGGCAGGAGGGCAGGGGGAAGAGGGACGACGAGGGGCGAGCGGAGCGGGAGGGAGCGGGGAGGGGAGGGTCAAGCTGGGTGCGCTCGCACCATATCTGCCACGTTTGCTCACTCGGCGTTTCGAGGGGGAGGGGAGGGGGGGGGGGTCTGGCTCCGGACCTCAGCTTCGTACAACTGTTTGCAACAGTGCGTCCTATGGGGGAGACTCCAACTTCTTGAGACGGGCGCCAAAAACAGCCAAGATCTACTCCAAGGGGGGAGGGGGTGCGAGGGTCAGTGCCGATCGGCAAAACAACAAATTCGCCGGCCCAATGGGCCAGAGGCGTGCTAAGATCTCCGGTAACTACTTAACAATATTTCTAATTCGCGCGCGCGGGGCGGCCCCTGGGGGGCCCCGGACGAAAAGTACCCCGGCCGATCCCCGGCTGACCCCCGGGCGATCCCCAGGGGGGAAGCTATTTTTCGCCACCCCTCACGAGGATCGTGGCCTCCGAGTGGGGAGCTGCCAACGACTACCCCCCCTTCCGCCGCACGGGGCCCCCAAGAGCCCCCCAAGAGGCCCCAGGGGAGCCCAATACGCCGCCAAGAAGCCCCAAGACGCTCCCAAGACGCCCCCACCCAAAAAGCCCCCAAGACGGCCCCAAGAGGCCCCAAATAGCGCTCCAGGGCCGGCGGAATGAGCGAAGCGATTCATAATAAAACTATCCCCATCCATTCCCATTGCCCTGTTGTTTTCTCTATTCGCGGACGCGTGTCATAGCCGACCTGGAACTCAACACAAGACCCCATCATGGCATGCGAAATCGGGAAAAGGCAAACTGCCTCCGTGGCCTGTGGGGCCTGTGAGACCTGCGACACCTGTGGGACTTGTGGAACCTGTGGGGACTTTAAGACCTGTAGGAACTGTGGGACCTGCGAGATCTGCGAGATTCGTGAGACCCGTGGCACCGGCAGGCCCTGTGGAACCTGAGGGACTTCTGTTGGACCTGTGAAACATGCGACACCTCTGGGACTTCTGGGACATGCGGTACCTCCGACATCTGTGGGACCTGTGCCACCTGTCAGACCCGTGGTACCTTTCGGACTTGCGGAACGACCTGCGACACTTGTGGATCCTGTGGGACCTGTGGGACGTATGGGGCCTGCGAGACCTGTGAGGCCTGTGGGACCTGCGAGACCCGTGGGATCCAGAAAAGTGGCCCACGTTGGGGTGGAAGCGCCGACCTTGAATGAGGCGCCCACGCTGCAGCGAAAACACCATGTAAAAGCGTTGTAGCAATTGGATTAAAAACAGGACGCGGAGGGGTGAGACGACTCTCAGGACATACTCGGGGGAAAGAGGAAAGTCGTGCCCGAAGCAGTGCTTGCACTTGGGGGCTGTCACTTGAATTTTAACGCGCTGGCCGTGAATGGCGGTCTGGCGGCTATGTTGTCGCCGTCGCCGCCTCGTCGACGCCCATCGTCTGGCCCTGACTGGCGGTCTGGCGGCTATGTTGTCCCGTCGCCGCCCCGTGGCCGGCTAGTTGCGGCCTCGTCGCTGCCCAGCGTCTGGGCCTGAATCGTGGTCTAGCAGCTATGTGGTCGCCGTCGCCGCCCAGTCGCCGCTCGTCGTGTGGCGGCTATGTTGCCCACCATCGATTCTCTTTTTAAAAAGAATAGGTTCTACCCCCCCCCCGGGGTTATCCGTTCCCCGGACACCGATGCAAAACACATATAGGACTTGGACCCAATGTCCATCCCAAATATGAACTGAACCTATCCCAGAGGGGGCCGGTATCGACCCCCTCCCCGCCATCCTGTGCAAAAAATACTATGCGCGCGCGCTCGTTTATAAAAAACAACAAGTTTGCAGCAACCCTTTGCACACAACGTAACGAAGTGCACACGCGCGCGTCGTCGCGCGCGCATGCCGAAACCCTTTTGCGAATTCTCGGTTTCGGAAGGATTTCAAAATCGAGTTCCCAAGAAACATTCAAAACACAAAATGTCGCAACACTGAGACGACATGCGCGCGAGCGCGTCGTCGCGCGCGCATGCCGAAATCAAGAGAACCGTAAGCGTCGCAGGGATTTCAAATCCGACTGCCCCGGAACCATGCAAAACGCGCTTCGCAACATCAGCGTTCAAAAAAGCCGGCGCTCCCGCTCCTGCGAATTCTCGCGGAAGCCACAGGTTGTCAACATGTTCATGGAATTCTGGAAAATGAACCTCTCGCGCCGCGTGCCGAAATCATTCGCGCGCCCTTGCGCGCGAGCGGGGGGGGTGAGGGGGGCGCGATCCGCGTCGAGATATACTACGCGGGCCACTCTCGCGCGTCGGCCCCGCGCGCGTGTCGAACTCCTTCCACAACCTTCATCGCCGACGCGAAGACGCCGTCATCGTCACCGGCATGATCAGCGTCGGCGCCGTCACTTGACCCTGGCCCTGCCGCGCGGTCGTCGTTGCTCACATTGTCACCTGCATCGTTACTAGCATCATCGCGTCTACGGCGGTCGACGTTGAAATGATACCGCGCCCGCTCAAATTGCCGATTCGCACTGAAGTGCCCGCTGGGATGCGCCGAGCGGTCAGCGCCACCGCGTTCGCGTCGGACGCGCCAATCTAGCTTGCCGCTGCGCGCGCGTGCCTGGGTTGGCGCGGCCGCAGAGATGCACCAGCCAACGCATGTTTGCGCGAGCATGGAATGCGCCAGCTCGCCTGCCATAATCAATTCTCCCTTCTCAAAGAAGAATAGACTCCCCCCCCTCCCCGGAGTGAGCGACCCCTTTTCGTACTGCAATTTACATGCGATTCTGCCCCATCGTCCATCCTAAGCGTGAGTTCGTACTGTCCCAGCCAGGCCAATTTCGCCCCCCCGCCATCCCCTGCGAAAAAAATATATGTGCGCACGCTCGCTTATCAAACTTCATGGGTTTTCAAGAGCCCATTGCAACACATACCACAAAGTCATCACGCGCGCGTCCATGTCAAAACCGTACCAAACACCGCGTGTTCGCAAGCATTTCAGAATACAAACTTTGTTCATTGTCTTTTGTATAAAAAGAACCAAGGGTTTTGCAACGCAGATTTTGCAAATTTCCTGTCCGCGCGCTCATGCTGAAATCATGCAGGAACCGTAAGATCCTTACGCAGTCTGCCAAAGCCAGCGATTTCACGTCACCGCGCGGTGCACCCGCGATACTCCTGTCATGCGCCGAGGGCGCGAATCCCTTGCACAAAAAACGCCACGCGGGCCACATGCGCGCACCGCCGCGCACGCATGATCAGCCTGACGGATTGGTTGAACTTCCGCGCGCGCGGATTTCATTTTCAAGCTTATCAGCATCACCGCGAGCACCTGCCCCATCGACAGAAGGACATCAGCATCGTCAGCGTGTTTGCCATCATTGGCGCGGTTATCGTTCGTGCCGCCGCCCTTTTGAACATCGTCGTCGCGGGTGCCATCTTCGTCGTTGTCGCAGACGTTGCCGACGGTCCTCGCGCACGTCCGAGTATCGTCGGCATGCTCACCTTCATCATCGACTGACGGTGGCGGGCATCGGCAGTGAGGGTGTAATCATCGATGTCGTCATCGGTGGCGCCGCCGCCCCCCGCATCATGAGTTTTGCCAAACAGGTTGCGGGGTGGGAGGGTGGCATGTTTGCGCGAGCAGTGGATATGACGACTTCAAGTTCAGAAGAATGAATTCTCCTTTCTGAAAAACTAATAGATTCTACCCCCCCCCCCCCCGGACTTATCGGGACCCCCGCGCGTGCTGTAAATTACATACGATTCGGACCACATGTCCATCCTAAATATGAATTCATGCTATCCCAGCCAAGCCGGTATCCCCCCCCCCCTGCGGTTCCCTTGTAAAAAAACACTATGCGGTGACATTTTTTGTTCTAACATAACACTTTTTCACGAATCCCTTGCAAAAAATGGGACGAGGTGCGCACGCGCGCGTCGTCGCGCGCGCATGCCGAAATCCTTCAAAAACCTTCGGTGCCGGGAGGATTTCGCAATCGAGTTTCCAACAAACATACAACAACACATGATTTCGCAACACTGATTTGCTAAACAAACTTCCGCGCGAGGTCTTGCGAAATCTTAAGAAAACCATAGGTTTTCCAAGATTTTCACAAAATGCTGCCAAACGGGCTTCGCGCGCGCGCATGTCGAAATCTGTCGAACGCCCTTGCGCGTGTGCCGTCGCGAGAATCCTCTGCAAAAAAAGGGACGAAGTGCAGACGCGCGCGTCGTCGCGGGCGTATGCCGAAATCCTTCAAAAACCATAGGTTTCGGAAGGATTTCAAAATCGTGCGTCCAAAAAACCTACAAGAACCCAAGGTTTCGCAACACGGATTTTCAACAAAAGCGTGCGCGCGCGCTCTTGCGTCGTCGTCGTCGTCGTCGTCCTCCCTCCTCCCTCGTCCTCGTCGTCGTCGTCGTCGCCGTCGTCGTCTTCTGTCTTTCCTCGTCGTCGTTGTCGTCGTCTTGGCGTCGTCGTCGTTTCCGTCGTCGTTGTCGCCGTGGTCGTCCTTCCTCCCTCGTTGTCTTCGTCGGCGTCTCGTCGTTGTCCCTCCTATTTCGTCGCCGTCGTCGTCGTCGTCGTCGTCGTTGTCTTCACTCCTCCCCCGTCATTATCCTCCTCCCTCGTCGTCGTCGTCCGTCGTCGGCGTCTCGTCGTCGTCCTTTCATTTCGTCGCCGTCGTCGTCGTCTTCGTCGTCGTTGTCATCGTCGTCGTCTTCCCTCCTCCCTCGTCGTTGTCGTCGTCGGCGTCGCCGTCCTTCCTCCTTCATCGTCGTTGGCGTCGTCGCCGTCTTCCCTCCTCCATCGTCGTTGTCGTCGTTGTCGCCGTCGTCGTTTTTTTTCCTCCCTCGTCGTCGTCTCCGTTGGCGACGTCGTCGTCGTCGTTCGTCGTCGTCGTCGGCGTCGTTGTCGTCGTCGTCGGTGTCGTCGTCGTTGTCGCCGTCGAAAACATTGGAGACGTCGTCGGTGTCGTCGCAGTCGCTGTCGGCGGCGCCGTCGTCGTCAATGTCGCTGTCGTCGTCGGCATCGGTGTCGTGGCCAAGTGCCATGTGGTACCTACCGTCACGGTCTTGTCTGAAGAGGTCTTGCGACCAAGTTGCGGGTGGGAGGGTGGGATGTTTGCACGAGCAGTGGAGAGGACAGCTTCAAGACGGTCAAGATTAATTTCACTACGTAGATTGCACCACATACTTTGTAATATACATATTGAACATCGTAGACAACTCTGCGTATATTACACAACGTATTTTGCACAACATATGATACACTTCGTAGATCGCATCACATATATTGCAAATCGTACATTCTCCCACATATGCTGAATCACGTAGAAGACATGTCGTCTATGACACCACGTAGGTCTCACTGTTAAGCTTGCGCCGCGTGTATATATATACGCGCCACATATACTGCTCCACATGTATTCTCCTTTCTAAAAAGAGAATCGACTCTGCCCCCCTCCCCCCTGGAGTTATCCGTACCCCTTTCGGGTATGTGGAGCATTTATTATTCTGACCACACGTCCATCCTAAGTATGAATCTACAATATCCCCGGGGGGCCGGGATCGGTCCCCCCTGAGGTTCCCTCCAAAAAAAAACGCGGGGACATTTTTTGTTCTAACATAAGACTTGTTCATGAATACCTTGCAACAGATATGACGAAATTCACACGCGCGCGTCGTCGGTGTCGGAAGGATTTCGCAATCGAGTTTCCAAAACAGCATACAAAAACACATGATTTCGCAACACTGATTTCCTTAAAAAAGCTTACGCGCGAGCTCTTGCGAAATCTTAAGGGTACCATCGTTTTTTGTTTTTTATTAGTTTCTCAAACTTTTCACAAAATGCTACCAAACGGGCTTCGCACGCGCATGTCGAAATCTGTCGAACGCCCTTGCGCGTGTACCGTCGCGAGAACCCTCTGAGACAAAAAACGAGATGTAGCGTCGTGGTCGTCGTCGTCGTCGCCGTCTTCCCTTCTGCCGCGTCGTCGTCGTCGTCGACGCCTACGTCGTCCTGTCTTTCCTCGTGTGCGTCGTCGTCGTCCTCTTTGGCGTCGTGGTCGTTTCCGTCGTCGTTGTCGCCGTGGTCGTCCTTCCTCCTCCTCCCTCGTCGTCGTCGTCGTCCGTCGTCGGCGTCTCGTCGTCGTCCCTCATATTTCGTCGCCGTCGTCGACGTCGTCGTCGTCGTTGTCGTCGTCGTCGTCTTCCCTCCTCCGTCGTCGTTGTCGTCGTCGGCGTCGCCGTCCTTCCTCCTTCTTCGTCGTTCGCGTCGTCGCCGTCCTCCCTCCTCCCTCGTCGCTGTCGTCGTTGTCGTCGGCATCGTCCTCCCTCTTCCCTCGTCGTCGTCGTCGGCGTCGGCGACGTCGTCGTCGTCGTCGGCGTCGGCGTCGTCGTCTTCGTTGTCGTCGTCGGCGTCGTCGTCGTCGCCGTCGTCGTCGTCGTCGGCGTCGTCGACGTCGTCGTCGTCGGTGTCGTCGTCGTCGGTCTTAAGAGGTTTTGCAAACCAAGTTGCGGGTGGGTGGGTGGGATGTTTGCAAGAGCATGGGATGTGTCAAATCATTTGTTAGAAAACAATTACATCGCATAGACTCTACCCCCCTAGGAATTATCGATCCCCTTTTCATATTTCAATTTGCATATGATTCTGCCCCGTCGTCCATCCTACCTTTGAGTTCAAACTATCCCAGCCAAGACGGTATCGACCCCCCCCCGCCATCCTCCCCAAAACAGACTATGCGCGCACACTCGTTTACCAAAAACTATAAGTTGCCAAGAGCCCCTTAGCAAAAACATGCCGAAGCGCACACGCGCGCGTCGTCGCGCGCCCATGCCGCAATCCTTCAAAAACCTTCGGTCTCGGAAGGATTTCAAAATCGAGCTCCCCCAAAACAACATACAAAAAACATGGCTTCGCAACACGGATTTTCAAAATACTCTTGCACGCGCACTCTTGCGAAGTCTTGAAAAAAAACATAGGCTTTCAACATGTTGAACAACAAATTCCACCAAACAGGCTTCGCGCGCGCATGTCGAAATCGTTCGATCGCCCTTGCGCGCGTGCCGTCGCGAGAATCCTCTGCACAAAATGTGACGAACTGCACGTGCGCGCGTCGTCGCGCGCGCATGCCGGTATCCTTCAAAAACCCTACGTTTCGGAAGGATTTCAAAAATGAGTGCGCCAAAAACATACAAAAACACAATGTTTCGCAACACGGATTTTCAACAAAAGCGTGCGCGCGCGATCTTGCATCGTCATCGTCGTTGTCGTCGCCGTCCTCCCTCCTCCCTCGTCGTCGACGTCGTCGCCGTCGTCCTCTGTCTTTCCTCGTCGTCGTCGTCGTCGTCCTCTTCGGCGTCGTCGTCGGTTCCGTCGTCGTTGTCGTCGTCGTCATCCTTCCTCCTCCCTCGTCGTCGTCGTTGTCGTCCGTCCTCGGCGTCTCGTCGTCGTCCCTCCTATTTCGTCGCCGTTGTCGTCGTCGACGTCGTCTTCCCTCCTCCCTCGTCGTTGTCGTCGTCGGCGTCGCCGTCCTCCTCCATCGTCGTTCGCGTCGTCGCCGTCCTCCCTCCTCCCTCGTCGTTGTCGTTGTTGTCGTCGTCGTCGTCCTCCCTCCTCCCTCGTCGTCTTCGTCGTCGGCGTCGGCGACGTCGTCGTCGTCTTCGTCGTCGTCGGCGTCGACGTCGTCGTCGTCGTCGTGGTTCTCGTCGTCGGCGTCGTCGTCGCCGTCGTCGTCGTCGGCGTCGGCGGCGTCGGCGTCGTCGTCGTCGTCGATGCCGCCGTCGTCGTCGTCGTCGTCGTCGTTTTCGTCGTCGTCGTCGAAATCGTCGGTGACGTCGTCGGTGTCGTCGTAGTCGTCGTCGGCGTAGTCGTCGTGATCGTTGTCGCTGTCGTCGTCGGCGTCGCTGCCGTTGCCAAGTGCCAGTTGGTACCCACCGTCACGGACTTAAGAAGTCTTGCGACCAAGTTGCGGGTGGGAGGGTGGGATGTTTGCACGAACAATGGCGAGGACAGCTTCAAGACAGTCAAAGTGAGTTGCACCACCTAGATTGAACCACAGATATTGTACAGCCGATATTGCACATCGCAGGTTGCACAACGTGGATTGCACAACATAGATTGCACAGCGTCGGTTGCTCCAGACATTTGCAACACACAGTTGCACCGCGAAGAGTGGTCTTCATAGATAGCACCACGCAGATTGCTACAATCACACTGTTTGGGGTCCACGCTGACTAACGTATTCATATAGTGTAAGTGTGTAATTGTCAAGGACAGGGGGAGGAATATAAAGAAATGAAGGTGGAGGGAGGCCGGGGGAGAGATAGGGAGGGAATCGTGGAGAGGAGGGAAATGTCAGAGCAAGGGAGGTCCAGGGACAGGGTCGAACAACAATCAATGATGTTGAACAAGCAAGAAATGGGGGGCTCGCCATAGGGCAGCGCGTGTAGGCCACACTGGTGTCCTTCCTCCTCTCTTCTCTCTCCTCGCACCACCCCTCCCTCGACGGCCTCTCGCTCCTCCCTCGTCCTCCTGCTCCTGCTTCTCCCTGCTCCTCCTGCTTACTCCTCCTCTACAAGTCATACTGGCTCCCAGCGCATCCCCCTCCTTACTCCTTCTCCCTGCCTTCTCCGTGCTCCACCCTCCACCCTCCTCCGTCTCCCACACCCACTCCCATCTCTTCTCCCTCCTTCGCTCCTCCGCTCCCCGCTCCCTTCTCCCTTCTCCCTTCCCGCCCGCCTCTTTCCTGCCTCGTGCCTCCCCCCCTCGCCCTCCTCCCTCCCCCGCTCCCGCTCGAATCCCCTCCCTCCCTGCTCTTCTGCCTTTTGCTCCTCCTCCTCCAGCCGTCCCCCCCTGCCCTCATACTGTTCCTTCTCTCTCCTCCTCACCTCCACTCCAACCTCCACCTCCATCTCCAACCTCCTCGTCCTCCTCTGATGGAATCCCCACACCTCCCGAGCGGGAGCGAGGGATGCAGCGCCGCCTGCTCCTTCGTGAGCTTCAGCATCAGGAAGGAGGTGGAGGGTGATATCCGGTGCCTGCGAGGCGGCGTCCCCGCGTGTGCTCGGTATTTCCCTCTGCCTTGGTGTTTCCTCCGTACCTCTCTCTCTCTCTCGCTCCCTCTCATCTATGACCTTGTAACCCACGGAGCAGGTGAGCGCTGCGCAACCACGCGTTTGCCCCAGAGAACAAACGATGCGTTGGCAACAAGATCACATCATTCCTGGCACCGTGTCTCACGTACAGTGATCGACGCTAACGCGCAACTCTACGATTAACCGTCGCTCTCTCTCTCTCTCTCCCTCTCTCTCTCTCTCTCTCTCCGTGTCCCACTCTACACCTCTCGTGTGCACGTATATTGGTACACGTATGCATGATCGCTCCCCCTGTTACCATGCACTTGACCTTCTGCTGTTTAATTCCTACTCCTTCTCGTCCTCCGTCCTCCCCCTCACCCTCCTTCCACCCTTCGTCATCGTCCTCATCATCAGTCTCCCGTAACCCTCCCCATTATTCTCCACGCCCTCCCTCTTCTCCTCACCTTCATCTCTTCACCGTGATCTCATAGCCACACCCCTCCCCCAAAACACCCCACCGACCGACACTCCCCACTCCTTACACTCCTGCTCTCAGCACCCTCATCGTCCATCTACCATCTCCCCCACGTCATAAAGCAACGGTGCATCGTTCCCTCTCGTTTCCATTCCACACCCGTTTGTCGTAATCGTACCACTTCTCCTCCTCCTCCTCCTCCTCGTCATCATTATCGTCATCATCCTTATCCTCATCTTCATCATTGCCATCCGCATCATCGTCATAACCATCATCATCATCATCATCATCATCAGCATTATCAGCGTCAGCATCATCATCAGCATCAGCATCACCATCACCACCATCACCATAATCGCCGTCACCATCATCATCGTCATCAGCATCATTGACAGCGACTGCATCGTGATCACCTTCATCATCATCATAATGACCACCATAAGAGTCAGCATCACCATCATAACCACAATCGTCATAAACAGCACCATTAACCTTGTCAGCATGATGATGATCATCATCAGCATCAGCAACATCATCATCATCACCAGCACCAGCGCCATTACCATCATCATCAGCAGCATCAGCCTCATCAGCATCATCGTCAACATCAACATCAACATCGGCATCACATCTTCGTCATCATCATCATCAGCGTCATGATCACCATCATCATCATTATCATCGTCAGCAGCATCACCATCATCATCACCATCATCATCGACATCATCATCATAATCATCATCATCATCGGCATCATCACCATCATCATTATCATTATCATCACCATCATCATCGGTATCAGCATCATCATGGTAATCCTCAGTATCCACACCCGCATCAGCATCAGCATCAGCATCACCAGCGCCATCACAATACTCATCAGCAGCATCATCGTCATAGTCATCGTCAGCATCATCATCCACATCAGCATCCGCATCCGCATCACATCACCATCATCACCATCGTCGTCATCTCCATCATCGTCATCGTCATCATCACCATCACCATTATCATCAGCACCGCCACCATCATCATAATCAGCAGCATCAACACCATCGTGGGACGTATCAACATCACCCTCGTCTGCATTCTCGTCATCATAATGCTTCCCCCTCCGGTCGATGACATACCCCATAAGCGATCTCATCCTAGTCATGCTCTACCGTCTCCTCTGCCTCCTTCTCCCCCCTCCTCCTACTCCTCCTCCTCCTCCTCCTCCTCCTCCTCCTCCTCCTCCTCCTCCTCCTCCTCTTTCTCCTCCTCTTCATCCCCCTCCCCTCCTTCGTTTCACCCTCACCTCCCCCCATCCCCTCCTGCTCGTCCTCGCTCTCAAAGCATCCCACCTCGTCACTCTCCCCATCGCCCTCCCCATCCCCCTCCTTGGATTACCCTCTTCGTCACCCCCTCGTCCTATCATTCCGCCAAGCGCGGGCGAGAGCGGTGACCCCACGCTCATCTCTCTCTCTCTCTCTCTCTCTCCCAACACGAGCATCACTGCCACTACCTCGTCTCCCTTGTTGTATCCACCCTCGCTCTCACCCTGCAAACCTTTCAACACAACCACATCAGCGTCTTTCGCATCATGACCCCGTCGAAACCCTTATCTAAATCCCTCTCTCGCTCTCTCTCTACCTCTCTGTCTCCGTCTCCCTCTCCCTCTTTCATCTTCCCATCCCTCTCTCTCTCTCTCTTGCTGTGTCTGTCTGTCTGCCTGCGTGCCTGCCTGCTTGCTTGCCTGCCTGCCTGCTTGCTTGTCTGTCGGTCCGTCTGTTTGTCTGTCTCTCTCTCTCTCTCTTTATCTCTTTTCCCCTTCTTGCTCTGCCGTCTTCACGCGTTGTGGAGAGGCGGTAGGTGGGTGGGAGCGGCGGTGTTAGGAAGCGGTGCTGCGGGAGAGGATCTTGGCGACCAGGAGGGGGAAAAGTAGTGAACGCGAATGGGAGAGGAGGACGTGTATAGAAGATATTGGAAGAGCTTGGTGGTGAGGCAGCCATGACAGATGGAGGGGAGACGGAGTGGCGGCGCTGGTGGGGCGCAGGGAGGGTAGTGGTGGTAGGAAGGAGATGGGAATGGAGTGACGCGCGGGCAGGGAATGGGGATGAGTGGGATCTGGTGGCAAGGGGGAAGGGGGAACATGATAGAGAAGCCCGGTGATGATACCAGAGTGAGGGGGCCGAACGGCCATCGAGTGTTCCTAGGTGCGTGGCAGAAGTGGCGTTCCGTCCAGCGGATTCTGCTTGTTGTGTTGTCGTTGCGATGTCGTCGCCCTCGCCCGCGACCCGCCCGCGACCTACCCACAGCCCACCCCGCGACCCACCCCGCGACCCGCCCGCGACCCACCCCGTGACCCACCCCGCGACCCACCCCGCGACCCACCCCGCGCTCGCCTTTTCACTCAAGAGAGAGAGAGAGAGAGAAAAAAAAAAAAACAGCAGAAAGAGAGAGAGAGGGGGGGGTGGGATGAGCCACCACCACCTCCTCCATACGCCTCCATGGCCCACCAATGACCTCGCCATCGTCTCAAGGCCCTCCGGCTGCCCCCCGTTCCCGGCTTTCCCCCCCTCCGGAGTGGAGCGCCGAGGAGACCCCGAACCTCCGACGGCGACTGCCTCGTCGTCCCCGACGGCCTCTGCTGACGGCCCCTGGCCACGACAACGCCCCCTTTATGGAGCCCCACGCTGAGAAGTGGCTCTGTTCGGGTGATCGTGAACGGGTGGGAATCAGCGTGGGGCGAACAAAAATTATGCTAACGGAGCTCCCCACATAAAGATATTAAAGGTTTCGTGGGACCCATGGGGTACGACAACATCAACACGACGGGTGGGAGGGGCACGAAACCATGTAAATAACATGGGTTTCCGATACCCTCCTCGCTCAGGCGGGGCCTCCCTGGAGAGGTGGAAGGGGCACGAAACCATGTAAATAACATGGGTTTCCGATACCCTCCTCGCTCAGGCGGGGCCTCCCTGGAGGGGTGGGAGGGGCACGAAACCATGTAAATAGTATGGGTTTCCGATACCCTCCTCGCTCAGGCGGGGCCTCCCTGGAGGGGGGTGATCTGGGAGGCTGGAATGGTAGGCATGGTATTGATATGGGAGGCGGGAGGCGGGAGGGAGAAGGAGAGGATGTTCTGGGAAAACAAGAACCCCACTCAGGATGTGGGGAAAAAGGCGTGCGCCCTTCGTGCACCTCCCGGGCCCGCGGTGGCAGTTTGGGGGCCCTCGTCGGGCCCTCTCCTGCAGTGCGCGATCCCCCCATGATGAACGTTTTTTTTTGGGGGGGGAATTTTTTGCGTTTCGAGATTGGGCCGAAGGGGGGGGGGAGGGGGGTCTCGCTCTGGACCTCTGCTTACTGCGACTGTTTGCTGCAGTGCGTTCTATGGGGGGAGGCTCCACCTGCCTGAAACAGGCGCCAGCAAACAGCCAGGATCTACTCCATGGGGAGGGGGGGGAGGGGGGGCGCGAGGGCACGCGCCGATCGGCAAAACAACGAGTAAAACAACGATCACTTGTTGCCCCCCCCCCGCCCCGTTGCCGCCCGCCAGTTCGCGGGACGCCACAGGGTCCGAAGGAAGGGCGCCGCCGTCCTGGTGAGGAAGCCCTCCAGCTCGGGGTCCTGGCAGCGAGCGCGCACCGCGCGTGGCCGAGGGCCTCTGCTCCGGTGGCCCTCGAAGGCCCCAGAGCGGCGCGGTGACGGACCGTGCGCTGGCCTCGAGATCCGCACAAACCTCACCGCACGGTCCGTCACCAAACGGTCTTGAGACCTTGGAGGCCCCAACCGCCCGAGACTCACCCCGAATCCCCACTGACTCACCGCACGGTGTGGTCACCGCGACGTCTGGGGGCACCCGAGTCTGTCGGCCCTCCCCCCAGAGGTCGGCGGGGTAGCCGCAGGGTCAGGCGGCGACGTCGGGGCACTACCCCCACCAACCATCGATTCTCCTGAATCGGTGGGAGGTGGAGGTAGGTTTCAGAGCTTCGCGGAGCGTACTTATCGGCACGGCCAGTTTCCCCCTCGAAGCTCTGGCCAAAGCGAACCCGCGGAGAGGACTGGGGCCGTCTCCGAAGAAGGAGGACGGGGAAGGGAGGAGGAGGGAGGTGAGGGAGGGTGAGGAGGAGGGGATGGATGGAGGAGGAGGGTGAGACGAGAAATATGAGGAGGCGGAGGGGAGGAGGAGGAGGAGGAGGCGGAGGAGGAGGAGGAGGAGGAGGAGGAGGCAGAGGAGGAGGAGGACCAGTGTAAACCTAAGTCTCATCAACGATGTTGGGGAAAAAACCATCCATCCAAACTCCCTCTTCACATGCCCGTCATAAGGATTTATTTACACTGAGGCAATTGCCTCGTTGGGGGACAGCCGTTTGAAGATCCTGAAGCGTGCCAAAATAAAATTCCTGGGACTCCGACGCCACGAATCAACCTGACTGTTGCGTCTTGAAGATCAGGAATCGTGCCAGAGAACCATTCCTGGGACTTCAACACCGCGAATCAACGTAAATACTGCGCCCTGGCATTCCTGAATCGTTCCAAACACCATTTCTGGTACGTTGACCATGGGGAGCCGTGAAACTTTTGCAAATGTTTAAAACGAATGCGTGCGGCGCTAAGGCGAGAACCACATCTTGAAAAGGAACCGCCCATACTCCGTGAAGTTCGTGCAAAACGAGTGTGCGCGGCGCTACAGCGAGAACCACATTTTGAAAACCGCCCGCCATCAATCCGTGAAGCTCTTGCAATTGTCTGTAACGAATGTGCGCGGCCCTAGCCATCAATTGAAAAAGGCCCGCCCTCGATCCGTGAAGATCTGTCAACGATGTAAGACGAAGGTGCGCGGCGCTGAGGCGAGTCACATTTTGAAAGCCACCCGCCCTCCATCTGTGGAGCTGTTGCAACTGTTTAACTTCAGGGCCATAAATGGTGAGGACGTCTCAAGCGAAACGCCCGGGCGGCTCTTCCGACCAGACTCGGGGTGCGACAGGGAGGAGCTACTCATCAGGAAAAGGAATGGAGGAGGAAGAGAAGGGACCATGATCATCTCCTTCACCTCCTCCACGACCAGGTGAGCGCAATATGCATGCCCTTGCAAACTCAAATTTCTTGTCCTCTGTCTCTATGCTGCCTCCCGTTTTCCAGCTGCGCTCACATAGGGCAACTTTGTATGCCATGATGGCGCAGTTGGTTCCTGTTGTCGTCATGCCGTTTGGTTGCCATCCTGACGCTACGAGCACAGTCGAATCAATCGGCGGCGAGCGAGGGGGGAAATGAGAAGGAGAAGGCCTTCTCAGAAGGCGGCGGGACTTCTGAGAAGCCCTCGCGCCTTCCGAGAAGTTTGTTCTGCTTTCGGGGAAGGCTTAGAAACCTTCTTAGAAGGCCGGGGGACTTCCGAGCCTTCTGAGAAGGCCTCCTCCTTCTCACTTCCCCTCCTCGCTCGCCGCCGAAGAGAGTATGCCTGGCGCAAGAAGCAGGAGGAGGCAGAGGAGGGGAGGAAAGAGAGGATAGCGAGAGAAGGAGCCCTGCGGCGCGCCATCGCCGGACGCCTTCCATCCAGGGAGGAGGAGGAGGGGGAGGAGGAGGAGGAGGAGGAGGAGGAGGAGGAGGAGGAGGAGGAGGAAAAGGAGGAGGAGGAGGAGGAGCAGGAGGAAGAGGATGATGAGGACGAGGAGCAGGAGCAGCACCAGCAGGAGGAGCAGGCGGGGGAGGCGCCCACTCTGCCGCGGCACGCGCGACCCGCGGGGGGGCCTGGAGAGGAGCCGGCCGCAGCACTGCCCGCGCGCCCGCGAGGAGCTCGCGGCGGCCCTGTGGACCCCCGGCGCCGCGGAGGAGCCGCGCGGGCGCTGGCGCCCTCGGGGCACCTGACAGCGGCGACCCTGTCAACCAGCCGTCGTTGAGAAAACCGACGGCACCATCATTCTCTGAACAGCTCAATGTGCTCGGAGGCCTTGTTTATGTTGCGCATGTCCTAGATTTCTATCCGATACGGAAGCGCGCGGGCGCTGGCTCCCTCGGGGCACCTGACAACGGCGACCCTGTCAACCAGCCGTCGTTGAGAAAACTCAAAGCACCATTGCCCGCCCGTCGGAAGCAGGTACAAACATGAAGCAGGAAGGCGGATCATGCAGATTGGGTTGTGGCCCGCCCAGCGAATTGCAAAAACAACAGCACATGCAGATTCTTGAAGCGGGAGGGCCCTTGAAGTAGAGTGGGACCTGGATATCCCCAAATCCCTACTTTCAACGACCGGCTTGAATCAAAGGCACCATGATTCTCTCGACAGCTCAATGTGTTCGGAGGCCTTGCTTATGCTGCGCATTACCCAGATTTGTATGCGATGCGCCGTTGGGCCCTGGGACCTCAGAAGCAGGACTAGCAGCTCACGGGCCCCTCGAGACCCTGAACCCCAAAAAGTCGCCACCTCCTGGAGGGCTGAACCCAGCTTCCGCCGACTTCTGCTGGTCCTCTTCTGCCGCCGGCGGAGCCGGCCCCGGCTCCTTCCGCCCGCCTGCCGCCGGCCTCCGCCGCAGGAAAGATACCAACTCCTTCGACTCTCGAGGGCGAGGCTCTCTTTGGAGCGCCTCAGACCCAGGCCCCGTCGAAGGTGGGCGCGGGCCACTCGGCACTGGCGGCGCGGCCGCCCGCCTGCGCTGAAAGGTCTCGCCCGATGTCGCGTGGAGCAGCCGCGGCGGGAGAGGTCTTTGCTCTCGGTCTTGACGACGACGACGACGACGACGACGACGATGAGGACGATGAGGACAGCGGCGGCGAGGACGAACGTCAGGCGGGAGGCGGCGGCGGCGGCCCCACGGTCCCTCTCGGAGGCAGGGGCGAGCAGCCGCTTTGGCGCCTGGGCCCGCCGGGAGGGGGGGGAGGAGGGTGAGAAGGAGATTCGAGGACGGGCAGGAGGGTCAACCGTCTGACCGAGATGCACCAACGATGCTGCATCACACCTTCTCTCGCAAAGCCCCCTCCTCACAAGTCCTTCTCATTCACTGCAAGACGTCCACCTGAACAAAGAGCCTGCGTGGATCGTGGACTCAAACGACATGTGCAACCATCGACCGCCCCGTCCTGGCCAGAACGCCGCCCCCCGCCCGTGGTAACTGTTTCACCAACTTCCAGGTCTTTCCGTCCATGCGATTGCCACGCTGTGTGAACTCCTGGTCGCAAGCGTCGAATAAGTACCCGGCGATCACCGAATTTTGCAAAGTATCCGACCTCCGTCCATGTAGCTGTCGTGACCTTTTTGAAGCGGGCGGGCACGTCCAAAAAACAAGAAGCACCATTTTGAAGACGGCCCGCCCCCGAATCCATGTAGCTGCCAAGATCCTTCGAGTGCTTTCGAATCTTACAACAACAACACTTGAAAACAGGCCACCATGTCTGTGGAGCTGTGGGGGTTGTTTGGGTCGAGTCAGCGCTGCGCGGAGGCGAAAAACAACATTGTGCAAACTGTGCGCCCTCCACCAGTGTAGCTGCTTGGGATTTCGAGCTTCGTGCCATACGTCGGAAGAAAATGTCAGGGGAAACGCCCTGCCCGCCCCACCGCGACATCCTGTTGCACGGCGAATGAAAAAGATCATTCGCACGAAAGAGCGATTGAAGAGGACATCCATGCGTCCTTGACTGCTTCGGGGCCCGCACAGGGGGTGTCCCCATCGTCGCGGCCGAGCTCGCATCGGCCTCTTGGTCGGAGCGTGCCCAGGCACCGGCCCGGGGATTGACCCCGAGCGGCTTGGAGACGCACGTCTCCGGCTGCCGCCCCCTTGAAGCCGCCTTCGGGCCCGAGGACGATCCACCCACGGCTGGGGCGACGCACGGTTGGCCATGGGGGAAGAGGTCGAAACTCTGGGCGCCGACGCCGTGACAAAACGTCACGAGGCCGAGGGCACGGGCCGGGCCAGAGGGGCGAAGTGCAAAACGACACTGGGGGGTCTTGGGGACCCCAAAACCGTGTGGTGACAGACCGGGCGGTGACCTCGGAACCCCAAGAGACCTCACCGCACGGTCCGTCACCGCACGGTCTTGGGACCCTGGAGGCCCCTGTCGCCCGAGACATCCTCGGAGAGGGACTCGAGTCCCAAAACCGTGCGGTGACCCCGAATCCCCACCGACTCACCCTACGGTGTGGTCACCACCCCGTTTGGGGGCCCCCGAGGGTCGCGTCAGCACGACAAGCGCACAATGGGCACCGGCGACCAGGGCATTCGGGGAGGCTGCCAGCTGTCCGCCTGCACCGTTTTTGGCGCAAGACGCTCCCTCGGGCCTCGGATCGGCCGGACAACGTGCCTTGCCTGGCCAAGGCGGTGTGCCCGCCGATCCTTCGGCCAAGATTAGCCTGGACTGGATCGGTGTGTGCGGGTACACATGTAGACCCAATGGAACCCAAAATCGAATCGAGAAATCCGCTCGGCGATGGGAATGAAACCGATCGGCAGAAATCGGCAGCCAAATCGGGATAAGTCGAACCGGCGGAACTCGGAAAAGGGTACAGCCGCATTCCATCTTACTTGTAACATCGGTGCGCTATATTTCTATGCCTGTCACAGACGCGCCACGGGCTAGATAAAGAGCTTCTTCTTCCCTGCGCGCGGACTGGTGCGCGCGCGAACATCCGCCGCCGCGGCTCTTCGTTGCTGGCTCGACCTCTCGAAGCCTGGCCCCCCCCCGCTGGGGGCAACAGCGCTTGGCCCCAAGCGGCCCCCAAGACGGCCCAAGAGGCATCCAGGACGCCCAATCTGGCCTCCAAGACGGCCCTGGAGCACCCCAAGAAGGACCCAAGTCGGCCAAGAGATGCCCCCAAGACGGCTTCCGACAGTGTCAGACGGGCCAGAAATGCCTTACGACGGCCAAAGAGGCCCCCGAGAAGCCCCCAAAGGCCCCCAAGAGGCCCGAGGAGGCCCCCAAGATGCCTCCAAGAGGCTCCCAGGAAACTCCCAGGAGGCCCCAAGAGTGCCCCCAGAGGCTCCCAAGATGCCCCCTCGTCATCCTCCTCCTCCTCCTGATCTTCCCCGCCATCCTCCCCCAAGTGTTCTCCGAAGAGTTTCCACAACGGCTTGGGGAACACAGGGTCCGACAGCTTGGCAGAGCTCCTGCCACAACGCTCGGCCACATGGGCGATTCCAAAGGCAGGGGGCGGCGGTGATTCGCCGTAGGCGTCTTCGATAGACCCGCATATTTCTCACCACCGCCCCTGATCATGCAGTCGGGGTGGATTGAGGAGGACACGCGAGAGAACATAAGACAAGACTTTTCCGAGGACCACATTGCCACAAGGATGTTGAAGCATGGGTCGCGAGGCACAGGACACAAGGGCACCCTTCATTTGGCAGGGTCGACCTACTGATCAGCCTCGACTGTACACCCTCCCCACCTCTTGCCTGGGGGCGAACCCGGCACCCTGCAGAGCCGCCCCGCCCGCCTGGGGCCGCCGGTCCCTGCGGCCGCCCCTCGCCACCCCTCCGCGGCAGGACCGCTCCGCCCGCTCGCCCACCCCCACACAGAAGGGCCGCCCCGCCCGTCCGCTGGCGAGGGCTGCCCCTCCGCCGCCGCCTCGGCGGGACGGAGCGGCGAAGCTTGTCGCGCGCGCGCGCGCCTCGGGTTCCGGCGGTGGAGGCATGTCCGGCGGCGGCGGCGCGGCGCCCCGCAGCATGTCCTCCGAGGGGCGGGAGGGATCGCGAAGGTCGTCCCCCCCCCTCCGTGACCCCGCTGCCCAAGGCCCAGGCCCGGACGATGACGGCGACGGCGGCGGCGGCATCAGGAGCGGTAACGGCGGCGACGGCGACGGCAGCGGCGACGACGGCGGCGGCGACGGCCACGGCGGCAGCGGCGGCCACGATGGCGGCGGCGACGGCGATGACGCCCTGTCCCTTGGACCCATCTACTGAAGTCTGACGCGCACAGTCCTTGTTGGCAGTGTGGTGGCGGAGGATCCCCTGCCACCCCTCCCCCCGATGTCCCGCCCAAGCGCGGCATCGCCCTACGCATGTATTATGGACTCTGGATCCCGTCCAGCAGGTCTGACATGCACCACCCCTCGTTGTAGGTGTGGTTCCAGGAGGGGTCCCCCGCTCCCCAAACTTCCCGCCCAAGCCCTGCCTTGCCCCTCAGGCCCGCCCACCACGTCTGACATCCACCGCCCCCGAATGGTTTGGTGCTTCTGGACGTCCACTGCCCTCCCGATTCCCCATCCGAGTCCGACGTGGCCCCAAAGAGGACCCCCTGCTCCTCCCGAGTCCGCTGCTGCTGCTGCGCCGCCGCCGCCGCCAGCGCCGCCGCCGCGACTGTTATCTGTTATCGTTGCTGCTCCCTCCCTTGCTCCCCCTCCTCCTCCTCCTCCTCCTCCTCTTCTTACCCCTCCTCATCCGCCTCTTCTTCCTCCTCCTCCTCCTCCTCCTCCTCCTCTTCCTGCCACTCTTTCTCCCCGTGGTCCTCGGTCTTCCTCCACCCCCTCCTGCCTCCTCCTGAGGACCCCAGGACCCCCCCGAGACTCTCCAGGACGAGTCTGTACTTGCCAGCAGATGCGCGGAAGTGAGATCATTTGAACGCCGTGGCTCAGCATGTGGGGAATGAACGCAAACGTGGGCAAAACGTGGCATCTTACAAATAAGTGCAACCACCTCTGTATAAGGGTAAGCGAGTGTTACCACGTGCTAGCAAGTGTTCCCCTACGCCTTCTCATCCTCTTCTAGAGGTCTCCTATTAAGTAGATGAGGCCCCGAGGTTGCACTGCATCGCGCCAGCGATGCGGGGCAGGAGGAACCAAGTCTCAGATCGCGCCACATCATCGATGCACCAGCGATCCAGCGCGTCATGGGGGCCCCGCACCAAGGTACCATTCTGAGCCTAGTTGGCGTTTCCGAGTCCACTCGGCCGACGACTGGGCGGTCTGTCCCTGGAACGTTGGATCGGTGGACTGGGTCTGTGAGACGAACACATCACATATGTTCGGAAGATGGGGGAACACAAAATCGACGGTTGCCTTGAGCCCTCGTGGTCACGGAACACGGGCTGTGACAATCAGACGGGCTCAGGCAGCCGCAAGAGAAGGTCAAACTTACACACACAAACGCACACACGTACACACGCACACACACACAAATACACACACACACGCACACACGCACACACGCACGCACGCACACACGCACGCACGCACACACGCGCACACGCACACACGCACACACGCACACGCACACGCAGGCACGCAGGCACGCAGGCACGCAGGCACGCAGGCACGCAGGCACGCAGGCACGCAGGCACGCAGGCACGCAGGCACGCAGGCACGCAGGCACGCGCACACGCACATGCAAAAGCACACACATGCACACACGCACACACGCACACGCACACGCACACGCACACACATGCACACAACACAATACATAACTCACAACACACAACACACACGCACACGCACACGCACACGCACACGCACACGCACACGCGCACGCACGCGCACGCGCACGCGCACGCGCACGCGCACGCGCACGCGCACGCGCACGCACACGCACACACACATATACACACACACACATACACACATACGCACATACACGCACACGCGTGTAAACACATAAACACAAAACACACACATACACATACACATACACATACACATACACATACACATACACATACACATACGCATACACATACACACATACACATACACATACGCATACACATACACATACACATACACACAGATTCGTACACACGTACAAACATACATATTTACATACATACATACACACATACATACATACATACATACATACATACAGACAGACAGACAGACAGACAGACAGACAGGCAGACATACGGACATACATACATACATACATACATACATACATGCATACATACATTCAGGCATGCATGCATGCATGCATGCATGCATGTATGCATACATACACACATACATACATACATACATACATACATACATACATACATACATGCGTATATACATGCGTACATGCATGCATGCATGCATACAGACAGACAGACCGACAGACAGACAGACAGACAGACAGACAGACAGGCTGACAGACATGCATACATGCATACATGCATGCACGCATGCATGCATGCATACATGCATGCATGCAGACATGCATACGTACATACATACAACCAAATTACCAGCAATCCGATGTACTGAGTTGTCCGAAACGGGGTCCCCAGAAGTGCCGATCTGGACACCAGGGTCGGCATTTCGTCTCGAGCAGCCCTTGACAGCCCCGGGGCCCGGCAAGAGCCCACGGGGGGCAGAAAAGACAGCCAGGGAGTCCCGTCTTGACGTCGTGACTCTGATTGTCGCAGCTCGGCGGACGCAAGAGCGACTCCGGGCGAGAATGGCACTGGGCGCGCGGGCTCAGGGAGGCGCGGAGTGGCCAAATCCAGGCACGCAAAGCGCTACCATCGCATCGGCACCAGCGACCGGGAGACCCCAATTCGCCCGCACCAGAGCCGGGTCGGACGAAAGGGGGGGGCAGCAGTAACACTTACATAGCTTACGTAGCGGATTTCTCTGGCGCATCCCGGCGCCGATCGAGGAAGGCGCCCAGCGGAGTGGCCGAGACCGGCTGCACGCAGCAGATCTGTTGGTACCCCCCTTCCCCGTGACCTCCACGAGTGCCACTCAATAGTCTTTCAGACCCAAGGCTTATCATGACTGCTTGAAGCCTCGACTAGCGGCTGATGCCAAGAAGGTCTTGATGCTATTTTTCTTTCCCGCGGGTGGAAAATCAGGGTCACTATAATCCCCCCTTGCGTCCCATCCGACATAGGGCACTTTGGCGAGAGGCCACCCTCGCGCAGGCGAACAAGCTCGGGACGCTCTCCTGCAGGGGAGTCGCCCCGGGGCCGAGCGGCCGAAGGGCCGCCCCAGGCGCCGCCGGCGGGCCGCCAGGCAGCAAAGCCAGCAAGGCCCCGGACACCTGTCGGGGAAACGGGCAACTGTCGCCGCATGCTCCCCCCGCCCCCCCCCCCCTTCCCCTCAACACCCCTCTCTCCCCGACCCGCCCTCCTCCTGCTCGTTCTGTTCCTCCTCCTGAAGAGCTCGCAGGAGATTCTCTTGTGCAAGAAAACGAGGAGACGAGTGAAACTTGAGCCAAAGATGCACTACGCAGTTTCAACTCCAGCTTGGCGGGAAGGCTCGATACAAACGATACAGTCACAGTGGCCAATCCTGGTCACCCAGCGGAGGCTACAATCTAACACCCTCTCGCAAATGATGGACAGAATGTGCAAACGGGTGAGATGTACATGGCAAAATCGACGGGGTAATGGGACAGCTCTCAGGCAGTATACAACGCCTCGAAGCCGAGATCCCATCCTGGCTTCTGGACTACCTGGGGCGCCGTGTCACCCTCCAGAAAGACGGTCAAGGCAAAGGCGATGCCGCCTGCCAACAAATTCTGGAGGTGCATGGTTCCAGCTCGCGCGCCTTTGCAGTACCTCTGCTCTCTCTCTCTCTTGCCCCTGGCCGCTATCCCGCCCTCGCCAACCACCGGAAGGGATAACTCCCTGGGGAAAGAGGGTCAGCACTCAACAGCGAGAGAGAGAGAGAGATGGACACACGATACATATACTTATACCCATACGTGTCTATAAGCCCCAATCGTATAGTATATAGAGAGTGTGAGACGGAGGGACGAGACAGGAAGCGAGAGAGAGAGGGAGAGAGAGAACGAGATATAGAGCGGGGGGGACATTGACAAGCAACACCAAGCGTCCACAATCCCATTCTGGGCCCAAATTGACGAACCAAAACGGACCCCTGACCCTTTGGTAGGGGACCTAAGTTAGGAGGCCCACAAGCATTAGAGATAGGGGGTCGTCTCTGCACTGCAGATGTATCGAACCACATCGCCGATAATTATTATCCCTGATACACAGACGGGGAGCTAAGTGAAGCCGCGTCTCCACTATGATATTAGGGCTAAGGGTTCTTTGATCCTCGATGGCCAATCTCGGAGGATGTGACCTCCCGGCCCGCCCGGGAGCCGACAGGCACCGAGACCAGGGCAAGGGCGCGGAGACCCGGCGGTGGCGGGGGCCAACGGCAACCTGAAGACGACTGTGTGTGCAACACATGTGGCGGCCGCGCGCCGGGTGCACAGACGGAGCGCTGGCGTGCCCGGTGTCAGGCGTACATCCAGCCGTCGCCCAGGCTGGCCGCGTCAAGGGTATCCAGCTCCCTGGCACCTTGACTCAAGATCTCGTGTTCAAGTAGTTGTCCCCAGTGCCATACAGCAGGGGCCCGACCACAAGAAACATTCCACAAGAAACCCAACCCTGAGACCCCAGGACGTCCACTTCTTTCTGGTATGGGAACGTCGTGCCTTCCACAGCAAAACCATCGAAACCGAAGAAACCCAGGGCACCCTGGAGGCAAGCAAAATGTTTCTTGGCATGGGTCTCCACTGTAGATGCATCCGGTGAGAGAGCCGGCTGCAAGACATCCAACCTACGGGCACGCGCTGCGTCGGTCTTCGAAGCCCCTGGGGTGCCCCATGACCTCTGTGGACCCTGAGGCTATCGGACGATGATCAATACGTTTCTGCGGGACACCTGCTGGCAGGCTGGTTTCTCCCTCACTGTGCCTTCTACAAGGAACGAGGCCTCCTTCTGTCCTGCACTGGGGCCGAGATCTCTCGCTGGGGGCTGGGGGGGGGCCCGAGGGACACCGAGCCACCGAGCCACTGCCCGAACCAACCCGCGCTCCCATCCTTACAGGGGGGGGAGGGAAAGAGAAGGAGAGAGAGAGAGAGAGAGAGAGACAGAGAGAGAGAGAGACAAAGAGTGAAAGAGACAGAGAGAGAGAGAGAGAGACAGAGAGAGAGAGAGAGTGAGAGAGCGAGACAAAGACATGGCACCATTGTACTTCCGCCAGTTTTCGCTCTGCTTCCCCAGGCCAAGCCGCCAACGTGTCTCGCTTCCGCCGGCATGCCGCTGGCCTCTCATGAAGGCGGGGTTACTCGCCCATAGGAACCGCGAGGCCCAAGTTGAAAAGCCCCACGGATAGAGATGCAAAGACAAAGACAAAGACACAGACAAACAGAGAGAGAGAGAGAGAGTGATCGAGATAGGAACGAGAGGTAAAAAAGAAATGTATGTAAAACGATGGATGGAGGGAGAGATAGAAAGAAACCGAGAGAGAGAGAGAGAGAGAGAGAACGATAGAGTGAGAGAGAGAGAGAAGGCACACACACATGTATACGAACGCATATATACATAACGATGAAAGAAAGCAGGGCGCCCCTGGCAGCGCAGCGCCGGGAGGTAGGCTGGGCAGCTGACCGCCTCGCCGAAACTCTGCGCAGACGCTTCTCTTCCTCCTCCTCCTCATCATCCTTCCTCCTCCTTTTTCGCCGCCTCCTCCTCCTCCTCCTCCTCCTCCTCCTCCTCCTCCTCCTCCTCCTCCTCATCATCATCATCATCATCATCATCATCATCATCGTTATTATCATCTTTTACCACCCCCCTGATAAATAGATCCCCGGTACTCTACAGGAATGCAAATTGAACAGAATCGTGAGGCAGATCCCGTGGCAACGAGGGCGTCCAGGGAGGCCCCGGATGAGTGGAAAACAATAACGCAAATCCTCGATCCCGATCTCCGTACCTCCTCCTTCTCCTCCACCTCTTCTTTCATCCCCTGTTCTGTTCCTTTTCCACCTGTGTCTCCTCCTCCATATCCACCCACCTCTTGTCTAGGGTGATGAGGAGGGAGGGCAGGAGCAGGAGGATGGCGAGGAAAAAAAAGCAATGTGCGCAGCGCCGCTGCGCGCGAAACAATAGTTCTTGCGGTGCCACGACGGCGGTGGAACACAGGCAAAAACAAACGTTCTCTGACCTAAGCACATCCGGACACCTCCATGAAGTCCTTGAGGGCGGCAGGGCACACCTGGAAACATTCGAAATCCTTGTGCTACCTCGCAACACCTTCCCCCTCTATCCCCGCCCCTCCTTCACAATGAGGAGCAGTGGGTCGAAACGAACCGAAGCATGCGCTCGGCGCGCGCCCCCGATGCTGGATGTTGTTGCCGACTTGGGCGTGAGCGCTGGCACTGCCCATGAGGAGCAGAGGCAGGCACGATCCACCCCCAAAACAATTTACCCATAAGTTGACGGGGTGCAGCCAATCTTACCCATACATGTTCAACGGTCCCAAATAAGTTGCCCATGAGGTGTTCTGGGGTGTCCGTGAAGTCAATGGAGGACGTGTTGGTTTGCCCTCTGGAAGGATCTGTTGGCTCATGAGATGGAAGAGGAGGAGGAGGAGGAGAAGGAGGAGGAGGAGGAGGAGGAGGAGGAGGAGGGCGAGGAGGAGGTGATGGTGTGGACGGGGCAGAGGAGGAGAAGGAGGACGAGGAAGCGGTGCACACTGACCCCCCCGAACAGCGAGCCTCCTGATTGCAGCAGGGCCGCCACCTCGCGCGAGCGCGCGGCGCTGGCGGGGCGGGCGGCGGACACGGCGAGATACCCTCCCGTCGTCGCCTCGCTTCGGCCTCGGCGCCCCCGCCCCGCCCAGCCCCGGCCTCCACAGAGGCGGGCGGTCCCGGGGCCTCTCCTGCCGGGGCGCGCTCTGGCGAACGCTGCCAGGCGGGATCTGGCAGTTTTGGCGGCGAGGACGCCCCTAGGTGCTTCAACATTGTATTTTGAAAATGCTCCTCCCGGACCTCCCCACCCTCATCCTTTACTCCTCCTCCTCCTCCTCCTCCTCCTCCTCCTCCTCCTCCCGCTCCTCCTCCTCCTCTTCCTCCTGCTCCTCCTCATCTCCCTCTTTTGTTTTTTCATTTGCCTCCTCCTTCGCTGCCCGTTCCTTGTCCTTCTTCTCCTCCTCCTCCTCCTCCCGCTCCTCCTCCTCCTCTTCCTCCTGCTCCTCCTCATCTCCCTCTTTTGTTTTTTATTTGCCTCCTCCTTCGCTGCCCGTTCCTTGTCCTTCTCCTCCTCCTCCTCCTCCTCTTCCTCCCCGTCCTTTTCCGTTTCCTCCTCCTCCTCCTTTTCATCCTCGTTCTCGTCCTCCTCCTCCTCCTCTTCCTTCTTCTCCTCCTCCTCGGTCGAACATCGAACAGGCTCGGGCATCGCATGCGACAACTGGTCGGGTGGGAGTAGGAGGGAGCGGAGGGTGGCAAGGAGAAGGACAAAAGGAGGGAACAAAGAGGGGAGAGAGAGAGAGAGAGAGAGAGACGGGGAAGGGATGACGGAGGTGTGTGCAAGCGGATACAAGGGCATTGGGGCATAGATCTATGAGGAATGAACTGGTGTACATGAGTGTATGGAGGTGCTAATGTGAAAATAAGTGTTTTCTTCGAATCCGCATTTGTTCATTGTGACAGAACGTCAATTGTTTGCTGCTCCGCGTCCGCATCGAATGACTGCGGACTGTCAGCTCGCTGACAGTTCGCGGCGACGGCTGCCGGCTCGAGGAGCAGGCAAAGGAAGAAGGGTGGAGAAGTGTGGTGCGCGGCAGGCGTTCACTCTCAGGGGAAGTCTCTCCCCTAGTTTGGGTCTTGACGGAAGGACCGCGATCCATAGCTCAGTTCAGCTTTTGATCGTTAGAGGCATAGGAATATACATAAGCAGGTCTGTATAATGTGCTGGCCGTGCGGAGGTGTGGAGGTATGAGTGCATGCGGGCACTGATGACATGCGGCGTGGAAAAGCGACGTCCTGGGGCTGGGAAAAAGGAGTGCGTGAGAATGGGAACCTATATATTGCGGCCTGGGGTCCACGAGGTACTGCCTATTCTTCAGGAGCTCTTCATCCGGATTCTGCGTACTTCGTTTGGTCCGCCGGGGGGGTCGCCACGTTCCCGCCCGTGTGCGCCTTGCTGACGCCTCGTACGCTGGGCGGGCCCGCCGAGGATTCGCCGGGTGCTCGCCTGTGGGCGCCTCGTGCGGTGGATGGGGCCGCTGGACACTCGTCCGGTGAGACGACACGCGCTCGCCACACCCACCGACGGACAGCGGGAAAGGGACTTCCGCCGCTTGCTGTACACTGCAGTGCCGCTCGACTCCCAAACCGCTGGACGTCGAGGAGAAGCGGGCGTCGGTCTCTGGAAGCCCGTCCGGACCCCGGGACAAACAAAAACCATCGGGGCCAGCAGAGGCTGCCTCTGGGAGATGGGTCGACAGCCAAAGGGTCGCAGGTCTGGGACTGCACACTGAAAAATACCTGCACATGACTCAGTAACTTCACAACTCGGTGGGTCGGCGGGCGGCGGACGGGCGCGTGCAGCGTACAACCGGAGAGGAGAGGTGGCGGCGCACGGTAGCACTCCCCAGTTATATCTACCTCCTCTTCCCACCACCCCCTCTGCTCCCCCCATCCTCGCTCTGACCCCCCATCATCCCTCCCGAACTTCTTTCGAAGTCGCCCCCCCCCCCAGACCTGTCCTGGAGCGCATGTCCACAGGCATTTCG